GTTTGTTTATTTTGATTGGAGAAAAATTAAATTGCATTTTGCAGTGACCCATTTACATGGCATTCTCAGCTTAGACTGCTAAGAAGAAATATATGTGGTGAAATGTTGGAACCATTTCTCTCTTGGTCTCTGTTTAATGTTGAATGGGTGAGCTAATACGAGGCATTTTCAACTTCACTCCCTCATGCCCCTTCCCCCTCCAGACTGGCAGTTTCAAGGATGAAAATTGTGTTGCAAAGTCAGACTGACTCATGAAGCATTTGGGCCAGTGCACTGTGTCCTTCCATCTGTTTTTTCAGATGCATTTGTGCCCAGGGTTTGGGAGCCGTCAACATCAATTGCTTTGACAAAGGTTCTCATAATCTTAGCTTACTAGAAACCAGTTTGGGATGGATATGATGGGGTTTCTGTGCTTTTGCTGGGATTGGAAGAAATAAAACATGCAATGTAAGTGGAAACAGAAATTTAAAGGAAATTTTATTTTGCTTGGGTCTATCCTTGGTAAAAGGGAGATGGTTGTGTTTTCCTTGTGTTGGATGGCATGAGATTATGTGAATGTTTTGATTTTAATAAAATGAACTGCAAGGTTTTTCACAGGAACGATGGACAAGATATGTATGACTGTGCATGTAATTATAAACCCCTGACCTCCTGGTGGGGTTGGAGCATCTGTTTCACATAGGGGACTTACAAGCACCTCTCATGAGAAATTGTGGGGGGGGTGGTGGGAAGGGATGGGACACAGCTTCTGGCACCAAGGATTAACCATGTTGGATCCAAAAGGGGGCCTGAAACCCTGGGCTTCACAGTTGGGCTATAAGTTGGACTTGAACCCAGCTGATAAGCAAGGTGATGGCTTGCCCAAGGTAGTGACAGTGAACAGTGTGTACAATGTGCCCAGTGGTCGCAATGAAAAAGCATACCAAATGGACTTTGAAGGACCAAAGGTTTAAAAAGTCAATTGGTATCACCCCCTACACTGACTAGGGTAGTGGGGTGCATTTGGTTTTCAAATTGGGTACTTTTAACACGTAGTGCCTGACTGCTGTTCTTCACTGACTTTTGACTCAGTCACTTGTAGCTTTATTGGTCTGAACCAGCTCCTTGTTCCCAGGTTACAGACCTGCCTATCGTTCCAATAATCCTGTTTCACTTGAATGGAGTATGTCTTAAAATGTAGTTTCTGGTTCTCACACTGTACTCTGAGGTCCAAATGACTGTCTGTCAATGTGTAACCTGATGTCTCAACTCCCAGTGAGAAGAGTCAATTCTTTGGTGTTCACCGATGCGAGAATCTTCACCGGAACAGGCTTTTGGTTTGGGCTCTGCTGTTTGTTTGCAGAAAACCCAAGAGCAAGCAAACATGCTGTCTTCACAGCAGTACCTTAGGGTTTTGCCATTGTAAATGGGTCTAATGTGATATGACAAGACCAGAGAAATTGGATGTAAATTTACATTTTTGGATATGCTTATTTCACATGATACATTTAGGGTATGCAGCTCCTTTTGTAGTTTTTATTTTTACTATTTAAGTTTGGAAATGATGCCAAATTTTTGTATTTCTTTAATCAATGTGTTCTCTTTGGTGATATATATTGCATTATATATTGATGTGTGTATCAATATATACTGATATGTATTACACTTAAACACATACAAACACATAAATAAGGGGGTGAAAACCATAGCCTTTGCGTTCTCTATAGCCTCTGCAGAGAGATCTTAAGCAGCAAAATCTTGGTGTTGTGATGTACAGAAATGGAGAAGAGTATTAAACCATATTTAAGAATATACTTTGTGTGCTTGAGATTCTTTAGGTCTGTGCTGTGGAGACAGTGTGAGGCACTCTGGCTCTGAGGCATGGATCAGTTTAGTCATGACTGATAAACTTCAGCCTTAGATTTGAGTTCTTTTCATTACATTTGCTTATGGAAAGGTATATGCAAAAGGGTGTCTGAGCTCATGATGGGGAAGGAGGTTCAAGCTGATGGGCTCCACTGAATTTGTATATTCCATATGCACTCAAAAGAGAAACGTGGGGGGGGGGCGGTGTTTAAGGCATTTTAAATGTTATCCCAGGTAGTTCTCAACATCCCTTGAAGGCAGATGGTGTACCCCACTTCACAGGTGATGCAACTGAGACCAAGAGATTAAGTTACGGTTCTGTAATGGCAAAGCTGTATCCCAGACCTAATTCCAAAATTTATTCTTTATACACCTGGTTGCCTTCAAGTCCTGTAGTAGAATGGCCTAGGTGAAAGAGCAGAAACTAAGCCTAGGCCCTTTCCCTCCCACCCTCCCAGATTTACATACCTGATGCTGGATAAGTATTCGCCCCATCGTTAGACCCATCCAAGAGCAAGTCGTGGCCAGTCCAGTGGAGCAGGGCTCCACGAGCAGAAGAGAATTTATTTCATTTGCTTTCCCCAAAGGTTGAGGTGATTAGAGCCCCTTTCTATTTGGTAGTTTAGGAAGCCTCATAGAACCAAGGTGGTGCATGGTTTGCTTCCCACCAGAATTGAGAAAACATGAAATTGACCAATAATGGCAATTCTGCCACTCCTTTTTCAGCATATTTGCATACCTTTTCTCATTTGCTCTAGAGGGTAGCCCTGGTGAAACCCAGTCATGCTCTGCAACTTGCCTGTGCATAGCAGGGTAGGATATTTTTCCTCCTGATGCATCCCTAGGTGCTATTCTTGAAGTCAGAAGTTGTTGGAAGGTAGAACAGTGGTGCCGGATGTGTGGGCTGTGGTGTTTGCCCGTCTGGGCCTGCAGCGCTTGCCGTCTTTTGTTCTCAGCTCTGGTTCCCATGCCGTGATGCTTCCAGACAGGCACAGTGGATTCGGGGCTGAGTGCCAAGGTGAAATTTAAGACATGTCAGCTTCTCCCTTGCTGCCAATTTGAGTGAGTGCCAGCCGGGACTCCCACCTGCCAAGTCCCCACCCCAATGCAGACTTCACTTCCAGGGACATGGAACTGGCCAGCCAAGGAGTGTGGAAGTGTCACACTAGAGTCAGTGAAGCAGGGCTCAGTTATTTGTTGGTTTTAGAGCACTTTGGGTGCCAAAGTTGATGAGGACGTGGCTGATCAGCAGAGGAAGTTAGAGGTACCTCGCCCAGGGTTTTCCTCTGAAAATCAACTGGTGAATTCTGTTTCAGGTATAGTGATCTCCAGGAGTCCTTCCCTGAAACTGACTGGCAGGCTTATCCTGGGGCTCAATTAAGAGCCCAGGATGAGCAGTTTTAACAGCTCTGGTTCCAGCTCTGCCATTCATTACCTGGGCTTGTGGCTAAAGCTAAGTCTTTTCCTATCCCTCAGTTTCCAGCTGTAAAGCTACCAGGATAGTACAGTGGTGAGCCAAAAAAAATAAGTTGGAGTCAAGTCGATTCCAACTCAGTAACCCTATAGGACAGAGTAGAACTGCCCTGTAGGGTTTCCAAGGAGTGGCTGGTGGACGTGAACTGCCGACCTTTTGGTTAGCAGCCAAGCTTTTAACCACTGCACCACCAAGGCTCCATAGTGGTGAGCAGGAGATCTGAAATCTGACTGGGTTATAAATCCTTTGAGACCTTGGCAAATTACTTAACCTCTGAGCCACAATTCCCCTACCTGTAATAATGCCCACTAAGGATTGCAGTGAGGATTAAATGCCGTGAGGCACGTTAAGTACACTACAGTGCCTGGCACTTGGCAAGGGCTCAGATGGGAGCTGCTCTGATCCCTCCACTACAACTTTGGTCCTCTGGAGGTAGCCAGGGTACATTTTCTCTGGTGACCACGAGGTGGTGCTAGAGTTAAGGACAGTGGCTGTGAAAGGCCATTTGCTTCTGGTGGGGAGATTTCTGACAAGTATGAGGTGCCTGGGACAGCTTGCTTTTGCCCTTAAAATATGGAGAAGTGGAGAAGGCAAACTATCAAAGGAAGCAGGGATGAGTGAACAGAGGAGAGCTCCAGCTCTGCCCAGTTTCCTTCTTATCACACAATCTGGGTTTTGACCTATCCATCTGTAAAATCATTATAAGCCAAAAAAAAAAACCCCAAGCCCGCTGCCATCAAGTCGATTCTAACTCACAGCAACCCCATGTGTTGTAGAGTAGAACTCCATAGGGTCTTCTCAGCTGTAGTCTTTACAGAAGTAGGTCACCAGGCCTTTTCCTTGGCGCTGCTGGGTGGCTTCGAACCACCAACCTTTAAGTTAGTAGTCAAATGCAAACCGTTTGTACCACCCAGGGACCTAAGGTGGCACAGTGGTTAAGCGCTCAACTGCTAACTGAAAGGTCGGCAGTTTGAACCCACCAGCCGCTCTCTGGCAGTCTGCTTCCATAAAGATTTACAGCCTTTGAAAACCTATGAGACAGTTCTGTCTTATAGGGTCGCTATGAGTTGGAATGGAGTCGACGGCAGTAAGTCTGGGTAACATGCATTGAACAGCTACTATGCACCAGGCACGTTGGTAAGTGTGTCACATGCATCATTTCATTTAATCCTTAGAAAAACATAATGACATAGGTACTGCTAACAATCACTTGCCTAAGTTCACAAGCAACTAAGTGGGAAAATCTGAGGCTCCAAGTTATCTGTTTGGTCCCAAAGCTAATGAAAACGGCAGATCACTCTTCACTCAAGAAAGGATCAAACAGTTGCTGGTACAACTGAGAAGATGACAAGATGTGGACTCACCAAACCCTGTTGTGCTTTCAGAGACAACCAACAACTTAGATTGAATCTGGAAGGCACCTAGCATCCTGTCCTTCACACACACACACACACACACACACACACACACACACACACGCACATTTTGACTGGTCGGCCCAGCTTAGCTACAGCCACAGGTGATGGACAAAGGGAGCTCCTTTGGGGTCTCTGTAGAAGGGCC